CCCCAAAACCCCAAAACCCCAAAACCCCATAAAGTTAAATTGAATAGATTATGTCAGAATTGAAAATTGATCAAAAATCAATTATAATTTTAAAAAATTTTCAAATCTATTTCTAGTTCCAATGATTGAAATACTTTTAAAATTGGCAGAAATATATCCCTTAAATTCTCATGAATCACTAGTTTAATTTTAAGCCCATTGCACTCTAAATTTCTTTACAAATATCAAATAGTTGAAGTAAGTTAGATCTTCAGCAATTTTTTCGAATTATTCTATGCTTTCTTAAACAAATTAGTAAAATTTTGAGTAGAATTTGCGGACTTTACTTTTAACAATAGCATCAAATTTCAATTTCATCACTTCTGTCGTCATTATCCATCCAGAGTAAATTATGTAGTCCTTTGTATTTTCTCTAATATTCAAATTAATAAAGTTTAATGTGCTACTTACTATGTCATTTCAAACTTCAACTCTTTGAAATATTTTGTTTTGTTCCATAGGTCTTGGAGCTAAGCTCTCTTATTGTCTTTCTATCGATCAATATTGGCATAAATGATCAAGTAAGGCTCAAGAATTTTAAACAGAACTCTTTATGTTATGTCTAAACTGCCTGAATCCAGAAAAACAGCTGTTATCAAGCTCTCAAAAACATCTCCAAATATTTTTATATTACTCTCTTGCAATTATTCAATATCGATTGGAAAAACATCATGTTTTAATAGTAAATCATAAGTCTATTCCAGAGTAATTTCATGATCATTCTTTTCAATATTTTGAATGAATTCTTTCTTTAAATCCGTATCATCATCCTTAAGATAATTTAAGGTGAGAGCAGTCTCATAAGTTTTTCTGCAATTGTATGCGTTAAGACCAATAAATTTGATTGCATTTTATTTTGATGAACCCTGTCTCTTGAGATTCTCTTTTACTTGTTGAACGAAATTATCAATTTGTTATCTATATGTTTCTTATTGCTCATCAAATCGAATGAACTCATAAATATTTGTCTCAATAGTAATAAGACTTAGCATAGTGTTGTTGATTATTTAAGCTCTTAACTTGTGCATTTTTTCTGGATTTTAATTTTATTTTTAGTCCTTAGTCACTCCCACTATGTACTGTGTAACTAGTAATCCTAGTATCTCATCACCTAGATATTCAAGTCGTTCATAATTCTATAATTTTTTAGATTGAATCAGTTAGTCATTCTCTGGATTATTAGATTGACTTTCTTTTTAATTTTTGCTTTCGGTAATAGAATTGTGAGTAAGAGCTACAATTGCGATTTATTTACACGAGAATTCGTAATTTAATATCTTTTCTAACTTGAAAATTTGAGCTATTTCATTGGCATCTATTGGAATCTTGCCGAATTCACTCATCAGCTTATTTCTATTTTCTGCATACTCACTCAAGGAGAAGCCAAGTATATTGAGTTTATTCTTTATAAATTCATGAGCTTATTCTATTCCGGCCTCTTGAGTTACTGCTCCTATAATAGATTTGATTTAATCAGCAAGCTGTTTAGATTAAAATTATTTTTTATTCAAATTTTCCTGTTTAATTTCTTTTCACCTTTTATTTTCTTCTTTTTTGTATTTTATCTCAAATTTTCCTAATTATTCTTAGGATATATCAAGTTTAAGTTACTTAAGTGTGATTCCTAATTCATAAATCCATCTAGTTCCTATTCTTTCTAGTAGCTAATCCTGAATTATCAAGTCATCACTATTTTTAAATAGTTTTTATTTTTCCTCAGTCACTATTAATTGGGCCTATTTGCTTTTTATTAATTAGAAAGCATTTTATTTAGTTAAAATGCTCTTTAGCAATTCCACATATTCAATGTTTAACTCATTTATTTCGATTTCGCTTTCAGTAGCATTATTTATGATAAACCTCTACCTTCTGATTTGAGTTATCTTAGTTTGAAACTCATTGAGGTATTTTTGTTTTAAATTTTAATGATAATCAATATGTTCGAAATCAGCTGGAACAACATCATTAAATATCTTATTCTTATCCATAATTAGGTATTAATACAGTTATTATCTAAAATTTATCTATGCTAGATTTTTGTTTTCTACAATTTTTATTCTCCAATAATCTAAATCCTTCTCAGTCCAGTTTTAATCAGCACATAAGAAAAATTCTAGCACAACCAAGTAATTTAATACAGTATCTCCGTAGAACTCAAATCTTTCATTATTATACTATTTTCTTATGGTCGATGATGTTAATGCTTCTCCAATAGCCTAAGGATTCCAAAGTAAATAATCTTCAAAAGTCTTAAATTCTTCAATGTGATTTTCTTCTCTTACTCTAATAGTCTACCTTAAACTTAGTCGTTATTCTTTACTTTCCTCCAAATTATTGATAATTATTTTACCTCTTAAGAAAGACTTTATAAATTATCTAATGATTTTAGCATCATTTAGTTCTGATACATGATAGCATATACTTTAGAGAGATTAATATCTTTCGTTATCAAAAGGAGTCATATTAAGAATTTATGATGTAAAATCAAAGAAATCCGCATTATTATCATTTTCTCGAGACTATTTTTATGAATAATTCTTTACATCTTTGGCGGGAATATCATTATAATACTCCTAAAAGTTTTTCTATTTTTAACAGTAGTATATTATAGGACATTCTTCTTTATTTAGATATATAGCATTATAAAGGAATGAATGCTCATGAACAGATAAATTTATTCCATGTTTAGATATTAATTTTTTTGTTATTTTAGGAAATTTTTTAGTTATCTAGGTTGGAATCATTTAAATTCTTTTAATATCCCACTAGCTTATATTGATGTCATGGTTATATTTTGAATATTATTTCGTAATTTTACTTTCCTCTTTTAGTTAATTTAATTAATCTAATTAACTTCTCAAGCTGTTACTATGAGCAGAATGGTGATTAGATTTAGAGAGGTCTTTCAAAAGAAATTTATTGTGATTTAAAGTGCTCTCAAAGATTTAGTTGAATCTTTTAGCTACAATTTCTGACTCTATAAAAAGAATTAAATGTAATGGATGATTATTACAGTTAAAATTATGTGCTTATTTAGTTTTAAGAAAATCATAATTTTATAGATCTGTGTAGAATAAACCTAATTTCAAGGAAGTTTCCTCTATTTTAACATCTCCTATATAGTATTTGAGTAATTCGATCTAAAGATATGATTTAAGATCCTTAATTGACTTGTAGTCAATCTAAATGGAATTATTCATAAATCTATCTTAGGAATAAATTAGTGGAATTGTATACGATTTAATATTGATCTTCTAATTCTCAAGTTTAAAATCATTGTTCCAGTATTAAGTCATTTTTTAAACAGCCGATTCACCTTATAGATGCAACAAAAGTGAGTCTTGGTTTCTATCTTATTTTTTCACGTGATCTTAAAGAATAAATTTCACAATATCTTTGAATAATCCTGAAAACACAAACTCTCCCAAAACAAGTTTTTAGTAAAATCCAATCTAGAATTAATTCATCATGTAATAAGCGAATGTATGATAGAGTGATATATTAAGGATCCAATCTTAAAGGTTTTAGAAAGGCCCAAAGTCATCAATAGGTTTCGGTATCCATTTATACTTCATATTTGGATAAAATTGTTATTTTATTCTCAATTAATATGAACTATCTAGGATATTTATCTATTGTAAGATTTATATTTGTTCTATCAAGATTCTATGATTTGTAATATTATCACTTAATTGCTAGCTTAATGGCTATTCGTATTAATTATAAAAGTCAATCAGAGATTCGTCCTAAATTATTCCTACACATTTAGTAATGTTTTTGTCTTCTATAGGATGATGTATAGGAATGAATGCAATTAAAAAGAATATTTACTAATCACTTATATCGAATGCTTTTAATTAGGAATCTACTTGCTTCTCCATTGAAATAAAATCCTTTTTTACTTATATTTTTAAATCTAGCTATTAATTTTAATTATTATCTGAATTGAACGATATTGAAGCAGTTTATGGAGCTGATTATGTTTGACTAATTAAATTTTTGTAGTTTAAGAAATTATGCTAATCTGTTATTTTCTTTTATTACAGAAACTCTAAAGTCTTCAAGAATATGTTGCTTTCTGCAAGCTTTTTCTTTGAATATCCCATCTTGTCTAGAACCAAATTTAGTTTTTCAGATATTATTGTAGGAAAAATAAGAACTGATCTATATTACAACTTATTGTGATTTGTTTCTTGAAATGTAAAGACTACATGCTTATCCTTTAGCCTCATTTCCTCAAACTATGGTATAATTCCAAAATCGCTTTTTTCAATTTCATTGTTTATATTTTACATTTGAATATTGTTTAATTTCATTTTTGTATTCTTAATATTTTCATATAGCTCAGATAAAATTTGTTCAACAAGATATTAAGCATTATAAAGAAGGACATGAGCTTTACTGCTAATTATTTTAAAGTTGAATCGTGATATATCTTTTTCCTTTATGTAGATGATATCTTGCCAAGGTTGGACAAGCTTGTGACAGCATATAAGAGTTTAATGGTTCTAAATATAGTTTTGAAGCTAAAATTTTATTTTCTAATATTCTTTAATAGAATCTTTCTTCTTTAATTATACATATGTTAGTTTTTATAATTTATCTTAAAGTATTTTATTAGATTGTTCAGTCTCTATGGATTTATTATTTAAAAGCATTTTCATGTGATTAAAAGTAAGAGGCAAACTTTAGAAATTATTGAAATCATTTAGATAATGATTATTTAAATCTATGAAAAAGATTTTTGCTTCCTCTTCCCTCAAAATTGTAAATAGATCAATATCTTCACTGAAATCCTTATTAATTATTTCGGAAGTAGTATTGAGAAGACAGAAATGTATTTAATTTTCTATTTTGCAGCAAATTACTTATTAACTGTTTTCTTCTATATTAGTTGTCCTTATACACTTTTAAAAATTTTACTAAAATTGCTGATATTTCATAATGTGTAGATTTAATTGAATTTAATTCTGATGTCTAATGAAGTATACACTTTAGTACTTAGCGTTGGAATTACTCTCTGCTTATTTATCAATGAATTCGTTTAATGCTGTCATCATTGATTGAATTTCATTATTTTATAAATATCTTTAGTTCGATTCATTTTATAATGATGAAAATCTTGACTTATTTTGATCATAGTAAATTTCTACTTAGCTTATTTAAAATTTTTTCTTTTAATCATTTTAGATAATGGAATCTATTCTTATTAGCAATTCTCCAAGGATGGGCTTTAATTGATAAATATTGATGCCTAATTAGTTATTTTAACTTTCATTTTCCTTCTAGATATTATTTTCTTTGTCTCCTTCTATAATCTTGTTAATATTTATTAGATGCTAAATTAAATCTTTGAAATATTACTCGCCTTAATGATAGAGAACTCCAATAATGCTATCAAACAACTCAATTATATAATCTGGAATGTTAAAGTCATTGGATTGCACATTTTAGTTAGATTATTTTTGGTTGTAATTTTACAGATGATACTCATAAATTTTTAGAATCTTTGAATCTATTTTCGAATTCGATATCTTATTCAGCAATTCTAAACATGTTTCCTCCATTTCAGAGTGATAATTCTATTTAATTTTGGCAAGTATTTTCCTGCTAATTTACTTTTCCATAATTATAACCAGAGATAGTTATTCATCAATATCTTAGCCGATTTCGATAAGATCTTTCTAAATATTTTAGTAAACTCTCATTCTTTTATAATTTATAGTGTCCTATTATAAGGCTATTTTAATTATAATTTCTATTTCTAATTCGTAAAGCTACGTGATAATATCACAGTAATCTGGTGTGTCCCATTCTATAACTTGGTAATCTATTCTCTTTAGTAACAATTCTAAATCTTATTGATTTAGAAATTCAATCTATGAGTACATATTATTAGCTATCTTTTAAAAATTAGATATATTTTCTATTTCCATCTATTAATACTCTTGCAATAAAATCGGTTATCTCTCTTAAATTAATCCATTGATAGGAGTAAATGATTCTAATTAGTTTAAACTTATGAATCTATTACCAGCTAGATGAATAAAGGAAACAATTCTTGGAATTTACTTTTTGCTCTTATTCTTAACCAAATAAGAATAAAAGTAGTCATTTACTATTGTCTGAGTATCTTGATCTAATTATTGAGATATAGCTTCCTCAAAGATAAGGTAATTTATATCTTCAATAGATATAGTCCCATGCATAAATAAGAGACTCAGCGCTATATTGCTTGTCAAATAAATTTTATCTGACTTAGATTAATTGAACATTTAAACTAACTGATTAAAACTCTTAATGTCTTTTGCCTATTGAACTGTAATTAATTCTGTCGAAATCTGTAATTTTTCTGAAAGATTTTTATTGAATTCAACCGATCGGCTTGCTCTAGGACTAATTATAAATATCTTTGCTGCTCCTTCAGAAGATGCTTTCAAAGCTCGCACAATCTCTGCAATAAGTTCCAATTTTTCTTGCTCTTACTTAACTATAAATGATGCCCCATAATTATTTTCTTGAAATCTAATTATCATTTTAGATACTAAATGTTGTCTCAAATATTTCTACCAGTCTTCCTATTACTCCTTTGCCAACTACAAAGTAGATTCTTATTACAGTTCTTATTAATACTCCTTCATATCAAAATCTAGTTATTTTATGTTAGAATGACGAGGATCAGGATCATTTTAAATTTCCTTTGATATGCTTTTCTTAGGATTATAAGTAATATTTTCTTCTTTTATTACTTAGCCAAAATTGAATTTGGGGTAATGAAAGGCTTTATTCCAAGTTGGAGATCAAGAAGGTTGGCTTAATGTTAAACTCTCAATTAAAGATGTAAAGTTGTTATATTAAGCAAATAATGACTAGTCACTGATTTGAAAAGAAGTCAGTATTTTAAGCTGTTCTTCAATTTTCTGTTATTCAGACTTAAAGGCTAATTGATTTTTAGATTTCTTACTCTGGTACTCAGATAGTATATACTTTGTTGGAATCATTTTCTTACTTTATCCTGAAATAATACTGTTGTCTTTCTTACTTTAATTAGCCATTTGCATCAGAAATAAATTTTAATAAAATTTAATCTATCATTCTCACATTTTATTAATTTTATTATCATGGGGTTTTGGGGTTTTGGGGTTT